AGGGCGTGTAGGGGTTAGGGGTGTGGGTAAGCGACTAAGCGTACGAGGTGACCCCACATATTATATTATATACTTGTGTTCATGAATGTTTGTGTGTGTGTATCTATAGGGTTATTTTGGTCATTTTAATGTTAAACGGTATTTTAAATCCTTTGAAGTAAACATGAGCTTACAACATTGTTTATTTTATGCGCCGCTTATTAACGCAAGCCTTAATAAGCACCGTTTACTAACCCGTGAAGTAAACATGTCCTTAGGGTTATTTCAGATCCGTTTGTGCCCACAAAGCCAAGGAAAAACATATACTCTGACAGAAAACTATTCGCTGCGGTTTGCGTAGCCCGTAGCAACTAAGGGCATCCTCATTGGGAGGATTATTACAAGATTAAATTGGTGACATGGCAGTTTTTTAGAAAATTATCAATGAGTGACATAGATTATTTAATAGGATTATTTGCTACAATAATCTGGGATCAAAATATGAATCCGGATTATTTTAAGATTATTTGAAAAGTATATGTAATAGAGTTAAGTGCGGGACAGAGAAAAAACATATTATTTGAAGATGATGATTGAGAGACATAAACGAATTTTGAGTTTATTTTATAATTAATTACATAACAATATTTAAATGGTAAGAATCATATAAAAAATTGATTATTAGAAATCATGAATGGAGATGCTCTAAGTAAAAAAAATTAGATTATTTGTTGCGGTCATCTCTATCCGCACCAAATAACTCAAATTTCTAGTTCTTTTTGCTGCATTTCCGTTTACCCCGCAGCTATTACTTAAAAAATAACTCTATTTGCTATGCCTTTTATGATGACTGCATCAAATAATTAACATTTTGTACTTATTGATGGCTTTCAACAATGACCACAGCAAATAGGTAGCAGCAAACAAAAGAAAATCTAATAGTGATGTTGACTTTCTATTATCGACAAATCCATCAAATTTGAATGTGAATATCTAATCACCTTAAGATGATCAGATCTCCTAAATATAAGCATGTGATTTTTAGTGCCTTGCAAGTACCTCAAAACTTTCTTGGCAGCTTTTCAGTGGTCCATTCGGGGATTACTTTGATATCGTCCCAGTATTCCAACAGCAAAACTAATATTGGGATGAGTACAGATCTGAACGTATCCCAAACATCCAACCACTGACGCATAGGGAATTCTTTCCATCTTCTTACGCTCCAATTCATTCTTAGGACATTGTAATAAACTCAACTTATCCCCCTTCTGAATTGAAATCACACCTGAAGGCATTTGTCCATATTAAATCTTTCAAAGATCTGATTGATGTAGCTTTTCTGAGACATACCCAGAACTCCCTATTAACGGTTTCAAAATATTTCGATTCCAATCACATAGGATGCCTCACCCATATCTTTCATCTCAAAGTTCTTAGAAAGAAATTTGAAACGTTAATTGAAATGGTTAGGAGTATGTTAAGTTATTCTACCTTACCCCCTTCGTTGTGGATGTATGCATTAAGGACTGATGCATGTTTGTTAAACCGGGTTCCTAGTAAGGCAATTTATAAGACCCCTTATGAACTGTGGACATGTAGGAAACTTAGTTTGAGACATCTCCATATTTGGGGATGTCCTACAGAAGTAAGAGTATACAATCCACATGAAAGGAAACTTGATCTGAGGATAGTTAGTGTATTCTTTATTGGCTATCCTGAAAGGTCGAAGGGATTTAGGTTTTATTGTCCTAGTCATAGTACGAGAATTGTAGAGACAGGCAGTGCTTGGTTCATAGAAAATGGTCAATTTAGTGGGAGTGGTGAACCACGAAATGTGGTCATTCAAGAACAAAAAGATAATGTCATGTTCCCACATGTCGGATGCATCAATAGTAACTTGAACACCAACGAACGACCTGAATATATAGTTAGTGACATAATCACTAATGATTAGAATGTAGGCGTAGTTGGTGAACAAAATACTAATGAGCATGTTGTGACCACTTCAAATGAACACGTCATCACTCAATAAAATGATAACTTGTCAGAAGGAACAACGTTAAGAAGGTCATCTAGGGAAAAAAGATATGTTATTCCAGATGGCTATTTATTATACTCTGTTGAGCATGAGTGTGACTTGAGCATTGATGAGGATCCGATCTCATTTGAGGAAGCCATGGATAGTAGAAACTCTTTTGATGGTTTTCCTAACTTTTAGGTGTCACAAGTCTCAATTTTTTCTCAAGTTATGGTTACCGGGCGTTGGTTCGCGTTTTGTGTTATTTGGAGTCAAAATAAGAAAATTAAAGCCCAACACCGGCGCCTGAGAAGCATTCTAGAAGATTTGATGAGCATTTGAGAGGGAATCAAGAGTTTTGGAGGTCTCCGGGAGGTACACGATGAATAATTGATGAAGAAAAGACCTTTGGATCGATCACGGGGGCATTCGGGAGCATTTAGAAGAAGAAACGAAGAAAAACCATGAAGAAAAATTCACGCATGGTCGTGCCCAGCATTCATGCACGCCGTGCGTGCCTAGAAGAGGACCCGACGAAGAAAATAGGTCAGGCACGACCGTGCCTAGAAGATAGGCACGTCATGCCTGTAGTGTAACGAGGTATCCAGTCGCTGGAGGTCAGGCACGGTCGTGCCTATAGAAGAAACATGTACAGGCACGGTCGTGCCTATGGAAGAAACATGTACCAAGTCGTTGGAGGTCAGGCACGGGCGTGCTTTACAAGGCGGCACGCCGTGCCTGGACGCGAGACGGAAAGATGCTCCGTAGGCACGATCGCAGGCACATTCGTGCCTGGCGCTGTGCCTGACCCCGAAAACCCTAGTTAGAGTCAAATTTTTCCTGTTTTCTAAAAATAAGGCTTCTATCTTCCAATTGAGGGGAGATGGAACTTAGAGAGAGGGCCTAGCACAAAATTTTGAGAGCTTTTCACCCTTGTTCTTCAATTCCTTGAGATTCTTTGTAAGTTCCTACTTTTTAATTAATGACAATTATTTCTATTTATCCCAATTTTATTGATTCTTCAATTATGAGGTGTGAGTAGTTCTAACTGGGGATTTGGGGTTGATGAATGAGTTAATCATGATGTATGGCTAAATTTATTATGGATTAATTGCATGAATATTATTTAATTTGTGTTTGAATAATTTAATTGACATCTCTTGTAACCTAGAACAGCTGCTAGAATTACAATTGCTTGTAGAAAAAATTAAGAGAGATCTAGTTTATTCTAAGACACATTCACATACACTTAATCGTTCGCTAAGAGATCAGTAACGATTAAGGGGCCGTAAGCTCGCTCGTTTTGGCAATAATTTTAGGATCTTGTCGCATGAGAGATCAGTCTGGTCCCCTAAATTATTGTACTCTACGCCACGAGAACGGTAAGAACTTAGTAATGATTAGCTAGGCTCAATTGAATTAATTTCATGTGATTAAGCCTGATCTGCCATAAATCTGATTACCCCAGAATCAATCCTTGTTCCCTTCGTCGTTAATTAAGAAGAAACCAATCTTTATTTTATTCGTTAGTCTGCAATTTAATTTTCCAATCACCAACTCTCGCACAATTGCTTTTATTTATTTTTGTTTTAATCGCTGAATTTAGTTAATCCTTGATTTCCTTTTGTCCGTCCCTGTGGAGACGATACTCGTACTTATACCACTATTCTACTATTTTATTGAGTGCGAGAAAACTCACATCAATGTCATGAGTGAAGAGCTTAAATCCATGTATGACAATAAAGTCTGAGATTTATTTATTGCCTCATGGATCCAAAATAGTTGAATGTAAGTGGGTCTTTAAGACCAAGCGTGACTCTAATGGAAACATCAAAAGGTATAACATCAGACTTGTTGTCAAAGGATTTACTGAGAAATGTGGCATTGATTACAAGGAGACCTTCTCTCCGGTTTCAAAGAAGGACTCCTTGGGGGTTGTTATGGCCTTGGTGGCTCATTTTGATTTGGAGCTTTACTAAATGAACGTGAAAACCGCCTTTCTGAATAGATACTTAGAGGAAGAAGTGTATATGGATCAACCTCAAGAATTTTTGACCAATGGTAAGGAAAATCTTGTGTGTAAGTTGCAAAAATAATCATATGGACTAAAACAAGATTTCCGACAATGGTAAGATGTCAGAGATAATTATAGGTTTATATTATTATTTATTACATTCGTCCCATTTTTTGTGTCTCCTTTTGATTTGACACAATTATTAATAAAGTAGTTGAAAAGGTAAAATTTGTGTTTGAGATTTGAGTATAATAAAGTGAAATGATGTAGACCACATATTTCTTTTCAAAAGAGAAAATGTGACACTTATTTGAGACAACCCAAAAAGGAAAGTAGAACAGGTAAAATGGGAAGGATGAAATACATTTTATTTCTAAAAAAGTTAATACGTCTATCCGTTAGAATTTATGTATCCGAATATTTAAAAAATTACTAAAAAAGTTGAAAACGTTTACAGAGTAATAAATTGCAAATATGACTCAAGAACGCTCGGTACAAGTATCTTTACCGCTGGTACGGGTATCTGATACAGGTTTCTGGTACGTCGATATGATACCTTAGTCACGTATTCGTGCTACTTAGAATTTAGGAATATACCAAATCAATGAAACATTCAGAGGCCGTTTGGCAACACTGTTTTTCAGCTTATCAGGCTTATCAATTAACTTTTTCACCAAACACGTAACATTTGCTTTCCGCGTTGAATAGTGTATTGAGCAGAAAATGTAATGTTGAAGTTACTTTTTTGGCTGTATTACCTGAAGTTGCTATAGATGACCATTTTAGCTATTTTTACATATAATTTTTTCTTTATTTTATTAATAAAATATATTTTAAAATATATTTTAAAATTATTCAATGGATCTCAGAATTAGCAATTTATTTCTGGTATCTGAGGAGAATCAGCCAAATTATTTTAAAATTATTCAATGGATCTCAGAATTAGCAATATATTTCTGGTATCTGAGGAGAATCAGCCAAATTTCCATATTTTCGTCCACCAAACTGGATCTCAAACTATTAAAAGCTTATTATCCAATGGAAAGAATGCAAGTGTATAACCCACTGCACAAGATAGTACGTCATACTCCGTATTATCTGAGAGATATCCCTCGCCCTTGGCTCCATTTTCTTCCTGCTAAACCTAGACTCCATACTGTCCTAGCTTCTCCAAATCTGCAATGCTCTGCTTTACCCTCTGTGCTCTGCCCAGCTAATATTACTCTCAGGTTTGCTTATCTTCAACTCATCAATTCAATTCCTTATACCGTGACGCGCTTTCTTCTACATTACATTAAACTTGGCCATCATTGGTAAAACATCTTCCTACAATTTTCTCGCACTTTTCATTTTCTTTGCTTAATTCGGAGTTTATTTCTACAATACAGGGAAAGTTTTTAGTAATTGATGAATTAAACATCATAAATAATCTGATTGAACTCAAATTGTCAAGAAAGCGGCACTTTTGTTTGGTAAATTACAAGATATAACATATGTATATATACCAGCTGTTCCCAAGTTTCAAGATTCAGCCTTGACGATAGAGCCCAGCTCTTCCCTACATGCCTTAAAGAAACGTTTAGTTGGGGAATTTTGGAGGAGAGGGCGTGGTTGTTTTTTTATTTGTTTTCTAATCGATCTATATTTATTAATCTCACATGAGAAACAAAGAATACATATTTAAGTAAATCATGTATTTCTCTATAGTTTTTCAGATTAAGGGCATCCCCATCCATAAATCTATTAAGGGATGAAGTTGGTGATATGAGATTTTCTTTTGGGGGAGCATGGTTAGTGATGGAATTATTTTGGTGAGATTAATTTCCTCTGGATGAGACTGATGAGTGAAAGACCCAAAATGAAATCATGTTATTTGGAGATGATGTTCGAAAGTTATTTAGAGATTTTGAGATTATTCAGAATAAAATATGTTGCAATAATTTGAAAGTGGGAGCACGAATAATCCGACTATTTGGAGAGCATGGATGTGGATAGACCTATATTCTTTAAAACATTCTATTCAAGATTTAAAAAATAAATAAATTTAAATTAAAACATTTCATATACCAGTCGTTCTTTATTGATTTTAAGATCTTAAGATAATCTCATATAGTTTCAACTACATTTTCCATTTTGGTATCTTAAAATAATATCATATACGTAGTAGTTTATAAGTTTATTGGTGTCAACTACATTTTGTTTGCTGTACCCCTGTACCAGTCACCAGGTTGAAGAATGGCCTTCACTTTACATTCACATTTTCTTGAAAACCAAACAATCCATTCAAATAATGGGTTACATCTTGTGAGTTATAAAAAGCGCAGCTGGACTGTCTCAGAGAGTGTAGCCATAGTGCAGTTCTTGCCAAATAGATGGAGAGAGAGACACAGGAAGCTGCTTAAAACTCATAGGATGTGCAGCGTGTTGGGTTCTACACGCACCGGCCTTCCTTTACGTAGAAAAGAGAGTAGCTCTTTGAAAAATAATAAGGTAATATAAAGAGTTGATTGCTTATTAATAATTATTTGTTTCAAAATTCCGTAGTGTTCATTGTTAGCAGTTAGCACTACAAATTTCATGTCTCCAAGCCATCATGGGAAAGGCTAGGTAATGGCCTAATGGGAAGAAATGCCAAGGAAAACTGTTCTCTTGTTTGAATTCTGAAAATGCAGAGCAAGAAGAAGTATGATTAATGGTTTTAATTTATTTAGCATATGTTTGGATTTTGTCAATAAATAAAATGAGTTAGAGCAATCCTAAAAAAGAGCTTTGAGCCCGTGTTTTAGTTTCACCATATTTTCTTTCCTTCAATATTTTCGTTTCTTCTTATCTTTTGGTGATCTTACGTTTTCTTAATCTCATTTTAGTGATAGGGATTATTTGATGAAATTATTTTCCTCTAGATGAGAGTCATAAGACTGCTGAGTACAACTGTACAAGACCCTAAGAAGATCACATTATTTGGAGATAATGGTTGAAGTATATTTAGAGAACATTGAGGTTATTCAAAATAAAATATGCTTCCAATAATTTGGAAGTGGGAACACAAAAATCCGATTATTTTAAGAGCATGGATGTGGATGCTCTTTTATTCTTTAAAACTATCTTATTTTCTTAGTTTCCCAAGTTCCGAATGGACCCCAACTAATCAGAAATAAGGTGATGATGATGATGATGTTGTTCTTGTTTTCATAAAGCCTGCTGGTAGATCTGGTTCTCTCTTTGGTCATGTTCTCTTTGTCTTATATGTTGACAATTGTAAGTTGCTTTAGGAGATAACCAAATACTGGGAGGCATTATCCTTGATCATCGGTAGGAAGTGGACCCACTTTGCCCAAACTGCAATAATAGCTGCATTTGTTTTTATGGTAATTCCAGAGGCTGATGCAGTGGATGCTCTTAAAACTTGTACTTGCTTGCTGAAAGAGTGCAGGTATTTTATGAAATCTACTTGCCTGATAATTAAAGCAAAAGTATGGCATTCTTTTATGCATTAAACATCAAATCAGAGGAGTTAGTATTGTTTTGGTTGGTAATTTTATTTGTCTGTGATCTTTATGATATGTTTGTTCTAGTGGTACTGATAGAGTTGAACTTGTGTATTGTTACCATGAGAAATTGAGAGGAAATATTTCCATAAGTTTTTATCTTTAACCGCTGGAGCCTGGAGTATTATCCTCCTTATTGCTGATCAGCTTTTCATATTTTTTGTAGGAATTTTATCAATTCAGGACCTGAAAGATAGATTAATTATCAATTCAGGACCTGAAAGATAAAATGCATCGATATAGGACCCGAATGATGAAAAACTATCAATTTAGGATCTGAATGATTGAAAACTATTAATCTAGGACCTAAGTTGTCATAATTTTTTTTATTAAAAAATTTTAAATATTATTTCATTTTATTAAACTAATAAACTTTTGTGAAGAAAAGTTTATCAAAAATTAGTAATGGAATTAATAAAAAATTAAATAAATCAAAACCTATGAAACGTTAGGTCCTAAATTGATAGTTTTCCATCATTCAGGTCCTATACTGATACGTTTCATCTTTCGGGTTCTGAATTGATAATTAATCTATCTTTCGGGCCCTGAATTGATAAAATTCCAGTTTTGTACTACCTACCAGTTAAAATGACCAAAACCAGCCTCAGTATAACAAACAACTACTGTATAGGAAAACTAAAAACATTTCTCATGTTTTTAAATTCTACAGATGTAGTGTTCACAGCACACACACACACACACAATCTATACATCTTTTTTGTTTGTTTTTTCTGCACATGAAGATTATGATTAGTTGCAACAGAAGAAGGAAGGAAAAAGTAAGTTAGAAAAAAAGAAACAAGTGAGAAAGAGGGCAGTTTTGTGCACTGTGTGGTAGGACAAAAACAAGAGAGAAAAGGATGGGAAAGAAGTGTGCATTATTTTTAAAATGACAAAATTACCATTCAATAAAAGAAATTTTCTTCTCTCTCAATTTTCCATCCCCCCTTTTCCCTCTTCTTTATTTCCTTAGAGACAAACAACTCAAAAAGACCAAAAGCTGCCTTAGGATAAAAACCACAAAGAAAATACTGCAAATGCGAGTTAAACATGGGTCATATGCACAAAAATGGATTTTTTTTGCTAAAAAGAGGATTAAGTTCAGTCCTAAAGAAAGAATAAAAGTAGTTACTTATTCTTTTTCTAGGATTGAATGAGTCATATACTCATATTCTAAGGAAAAATTAATGATGATCCTATTTATTGAAATGCTTTATGTTTTAGTCCTATTTATGAATTTTATCTAAATGGCTGGTGTCAAGAAACATCAACTATCAGATTGTTCTGACTTTTGAAGAAACCTACTATGACCACAAAATCCTTTGCTAGTGTTACTATTAGTATTATTTATAAATATCTACACTGATGATATCCCTGCGTTAATAATTATGTGAATTGCTTGAATCAGATCGGAGCTTGCCAAATGTATATCAAACCCTTTATGTGCAGCCAATATTACTTGTCTCCAGACTTGCAACAATAGACCCGATGAAACAGAATGCCAGGTAACTAACTCTCTTCACATAATCACATTCCATCCCGTCCCATGGAAACATTTGTTTATTTAGTTTTTGCCTTGCAGATAAAATGTGGCAATTTGTTTGAAAACAGCGTAGTAGACGAGTTCAATGAGTGTGCAGTGTCACGAAAGAAATGTGTGCCACGTAAATCAGATGTAGGAGAATTTCCTGCTCCTGATCCAAGTGTTCTTGTAAAAAACTTCAGGATAAAAGACTTTGAGGGGAAGTGGTTTATAACCAGTGGATTAAATCCCACTTTTGACACTTTTGATTGCCAAGTGCACGAGTTTCATGTTGAAGGAAACAAACTTGTGGCTAATTTATCATGGCGGATTCGGACACCAGATGGAGGTTTTTTCACTCGATCGGCCGTGCAGAATTTCTTGCAAGATCCACAGTATCAGGGAATATTATATAATCATGACAATGAGTATCTTCACTATCAAGATGACTGGTATTTCACTTTACACCTATTTTTACTGTTCTCTCTGTGTACTACTAGGGGTTTTTTCAAAAATATTACTAAAAGAAAACTTATTTACACAAATATGACTAATAGTTACTACAATGTAGTGCCATGGTAACTTAAGTTTAAAAGTTGAACATAAGTTACTACGATTCCATTATTACTTTAGTCACTAGTCACATTTTTGTAAACAGTCTTTATTTTAGTCATAAATATGTAATTATTTCGTACTACTATTGTATACTCCCTAAGTCCGAATTGAATTGACATTTTAGAAAAGTGCACACATATTAAAGAAGATTACGAAATGACATCATTATCCGTTTAATAATTCAACATTAAATGCTTTTGAGTTCTTATATCTTTTCAAGGCAAAATAGTACTACGTATTTAATATGGGTTAAGTCAATAAGGACTAATTTGGGAGTTCATTTTAATTTAGGACAAAATATATTGGTCAAAATGACAAGCAATTTGGGAATGAGGGATTTTACCCTTTTTCTTATGCGTGTAAAATGTAAATTTACATTTCAAGTTTAGTGAAATATGCTCCATAAAGTTCCAAAGAGACTGCAAATGGAACAATTGTATCAGGAATTCAAGACTGATATTTAGACCTACTCCAACCCTGTGCCATTTCACCATTTTGGCACAAATTAATGCTGTTTCACCAAATTTGGTGATAACTGTCCTAGCACCTTTTTTTTTGTTTTATAGAATGTTATGTAGAATGGAATAATGGAATAAAGAAGTTTTTTTGCGTGTGAAAGATTGAAATGTACCTTCATGATTTTAAAATGAAAGCAAGTGAAATGGCTTTGAAGCATGACAAGTTTTCAGGACATATGGAGTACAAAATAGTGCAAAGAGTTGGTTGGAGTTGGATTTGATGCAATGTTTAGCAATAACTTTTGTGTTATCCACCTGGTGCATCTAGGTCTTCCAAGCACCAACTCACCAACTTATTTGACATTATTAGCTGAAACTGTTGCTTCTTAAAAAAGATAGTGCAAAAGTTATTTTCTCTCTCTGACTGAAATGGAATGTACTGACACTTTACCCTCATTTGTTAATATTATTTTCTTTAGTTGAAGTAAGAAACATTTGTTTTAATATTGAGATGATTAGACTTTTTTGGTCATTTGGGCCATATTTTTAGTAAATTCAGCTCATTCAATCATTTTCAACCAAAATTTACCCTTTTAACCAGATACACTCGCAATGCAGGTATATTTTGGCATCTAAAGTGGAAAACATGGCAGATGACTATATATTTGTATATTACCGGGGAAGAAACGATGCATGGGATGGATATGGAGGTGCTGTGTTGTACACAAGGAGTGCTGTTTTGCCAGAAAGTATAGTTCCTGATATACAGAGGGCAGCCCAGAGCGTAGGGAGGAATTTTGACCAATTCACTAAAACAGACAACACGTGCGGGCCTGAACCGCCCCTTGTGGAGAGACTGGAGAAGACTGTTGAAGAGGGTGAGAAGACGATCATCAGAGAAGTAGAAGAGATAGAAGGAGAGGTGGAGAAGGTGAAAGACACGGAAATCAGCCTGTTCAGTAGACTGTTAGAAGGGTTGAAGGAAGTGCAGAAGGATGAAGAGTACTTTTTACAAGAGTTGAGCAAAGAAGAAAAGGAACTTCTTGATGGACTTGAAATGAAAGCAAGTGAAGTGGAGAAGCTCTTTGGTCATGCTTTGCCTTTGAGGAAATTGAGGTAGTGTAGAAATGGACGAGTTGACGATGAATGATGAATCATACTGGTATATGTATAATTTATTCATTCAACCTCAAACGCTCCGAAACATTGTTTCTCGTTTTGTATGCGGTTGTAAGGACAGATTTTAAAACCCGTAGTTAGGAATGCTTAGGAGGTAGAAATGATTGAATGAGGGACACCGATTTCTGGCCCGTTAATCATTTTCCAATACTAACTCCATATATGAAATAGTTATAGTAACACATTTACTATCTGCAGCATCTGATACTATAAATAACACATTTACAGGCAAAGTGTTCTCAGAGCAACTCATCGTTATATAAATTTATTTTCTTAATTAATTAAGTTGCACTTCTGCCCATCTTTCCTAGCAAAGATCTGGAACCCAGGACAAGGAGCCCTTATTTTGTTCTCTAGATAAGCGAAAATCTTCACATAAAAATGTTAGAAACCATTCATATATTTTTTTAGGAGAGAAATCATACATATCTAATAATATCCATAATTTCAAGGGATATCTGGACTCTGGTGATGTTCAAGGAGTTGATTGGTACCAATAAATTTGATTTGAGGAATGCTTAGGAGGTAGTAATGATTGAATGAGGGATACAGTGCAATAATTAATCAACTAAACACGCTTCCATCTGCAAGATTTACGAGCTCAAAATCGGACTGGAACGGAAAGACATCGAGAGAACGATGATGATAAACCGCTTTGCTCATATAAACCTCCGCAAATTGCTTTCCGTTAATGTAGCCGCCGCCATTGCTGCCGTCAATTTATGTTGATAATAATGATGTGGTTTTTGTACTTGAAATTCCGAGTTAGTTTCCTTGGTCGAGTCAAATGCCAAAATTGTGTCCTTGTCGGTTAGCCAATATGCAACATCACCGATGCAAATCCATCTTTGATGTCCAAATATTGTGAAGAATTGTGTCACACAAAATTGTATATTGTCCTCCACGCCTAGGCATGGACCTAGGCTTGGACTCGGGTCGGGCCACCCGGCTCGTGGACCGGCCTGACCCGCTACTGTGTGGGACCGGCCCGGTTCTCGGGTCCGGGTCCGGGTCGGGCCTAGGCCCGAGGGGTAGGGCGGGTCCGGGCTCAGGTCTCAATTTTGGTGAACCGGCCCGGCCGGGTCGGGCCCGGGCCCGGGCCAAATTGATTTTTTTTTTTTTTTTCATTTTTGGGGTTCCACCCGGGTTGGGCTTGATGGGTAGGATGGGTTTGGGGGGTTTGGGAGGGGGGGGGGGGGGGGGTGAGGGGGGGGGGGGGGGGTTAGGAAAGCAAAAAAAAAAAAAAATTCCAAACCGGAGGCCCGGCCCGGCCCGGACCCGGTGGCTACCCGGGCCGGTCCCGGGTCCACCATTCTTGAACCGCCGGCCCGCCCGGGCCTAGGCCCGACCCGGACCCGGTGCGGACCCGAGTCCACCCCTACATGGACCCAACCGGTTCGGCCCGGCCCGGCCCGCTACTGTGGGGCCTGGACCGGCCCGGTTGGTGCTAACCGGGCCCGGGATTTTACCCGGTTGGTTCGGATTGGCTGGGCCGGGCTTGGGCCACATTTTTCTTGAATCGGTCTGGGCTTTTTTTTCAATTTTTTTGTTTTTCTTGGTTAGGGCTGGGTGTTTTGGGGGTTTGAGAGGTGGGGGCGGGGTCGGGAGTTAACTAAAAAATATCATAGAACCGGGCCGACCCGACCCGACCCGGACCCGGCCCGGCCAGGACCCGGTTTATACCTGGGCCAGTTCCGGTTCACCCTTTCCCAAAAAAAGCCCGCCCGGGCCCGGACCGAGTCCACCCCTATCCACGCCCATATTTTCGAATCAAATATTTCGCATTTCACATCTTGGTGACCTAAAATTTGTACTCCGTATAAAATAAGATTGGGGATGAAGGGATTATTATCACTAGATTCATACTCAAAAAAAAACAATGATGAGTACGAGGGATACTAATTGACTTTTGATGTGTTTAATTTAATTTGCTTCCATATTTATATTGAAAGAACTTAAAGCTAATTTTAGTTACCAAATTTATTGTCAAAAATGACGCCCAGCAAATACGAAAGGTTAATTTTGCACCCATTTTTTTAAACCGGTAGGCAAACCACCCATCGGTGGGGTAAATGCCGGGGAATATTTACCTAGTGATGGTCCCGGATAGAGGTAAAAGTCTAGAGGGGGAGGTGAATAGACTTTTAAAGCTTTTTCAACTTTAAAACATTTTCCCTTCTAGATGAGTTGATCTATAATCTTTTGGGAGATTAATAGATGCACATCGGAAGTCTTTAACCTCTTTATGATTAGTTTGTGATGACTTTCTAGCTTGAATGATGTTTGGACTTCAGACAGTGAGCGATTGGCTTGACAGTTGATTGGATGTCAGGGAACTGTTGAGGCAACTGCTAGAGGAAAATAGAAGTTTGGGAGAGATGATTATATGACCTTATATAGAGTGATGAGGGCTTACTGAATGTGTGCTGAGCTGGAGATGTTAAGGTGTTTTGCTTGAGCAGAGGTCTCAGCAGTTGGGTAGTATCAGGTAAGTGCTGAGGCACCTGCTGCTTATGAAAGATGTATTTCTGAGAACAGGTAAAACGGACCTTTTAGTAGTGATGTTCCAAGGCTCTTGTGAAACAGTTGTCTCATGAAAAGTAAGTTATTAAGCAGTAGGATAAGCAGTAGAGTCAATTAAGACTACTGCTTAGGATGTTGCTGGCAAACCACGATCCCTTTAGTGAGAAGTGTTGGGTGTGTGCTTTGTTGACTGAAAGTAAATCAACACACAGTATATCCTGGTTCAGAGGTGGTGTAATCCTCCTACATCCAGTCTCATCCTATTTCAAATGGATTTCACTAATGTATTAAGCCCAATACACTTAGTGCCAATCTAGCCTTGACAACTCTGGCCTAGATTGAAGGTGTTTCACGAGGAGTACAACACCACTCCAAGTTACTCAATCCTTTAGGTTTTTCTCAATTGATCGAGTGGGGATCAAAAGGTACTCCTGACCTATCTAACCACACTCAGGCCAAGAACAACTGTCCTCCTGAAGTGTTTACAACACCTTGTAAATTACAAGAAAATTTTGGTCACCAACTGAAAACTAAGCTCTAAAAATATGAAAGTGATGATCTAATCTAAGAGCTTAGTGAAGCATGAGTCAAAGCAGAGAGTGAAGTTATGATCGAGCACTTTCTCTTTTGCTAGATATTCTTTGAATGCTTATAGGATTTCTCTGCTTTTGAGCTCAAGAACTTAATTTTTCGAACTCATGCTTCGACCTTTATTTATAGATGTCTCCGGTAGATTAATATCATCCGTCGGTTGAGATGATTTAATCTTGTTCATTGAATCTTGGTTTCAGAAGATAACAACTTGTTGCTTGTCTTCTTCTTTGGAGCCCATAACATCTTTGTCTTTGTTTGCCTAGCCGCTGCAGTTTTCTCCTTTAGGCTTTCCACTTGACTGCTCATCCCATGCCTTGGGTGAGTGTACGATTTTGCATTAAATGCATTCCATGCTGGATTCCTTTTCTTTGATTGGCTCCGGATGATCACGAGATAGTATAGAGTGTTTTGAGTAGTAATAAAATTTATATTGGTAGGATTTGAATATCCTATTAAGGTAAATAAATTTACCTTATTGCATTTTTAATTTCCAGTATTAATTTTATTAGTCTCAAAAACTATACACTTATTTGTCCTCAATTATACACATGTGAGATTTCATATCAATGTGCCTTTTGTTTCTGTGACGAATTAAAATGTTTGTAATAAAGTAAATATACCGGTAGGATTTAAATATCTTTTTCAAGGTAAAAATTACCTTATTACGTTTTGACTTTGTCGGTATAATTTACTTGATACAAACATTTTTTCTTTTGACTTCCTGTCACTCTTGATTGTGTATGGCCCAGCTAGTATTTCGAACATGTGAACAAATATTAAACTGGTAGGATAACAAATACTATTAAGGTAAAAATTATTACCTTATTGCATTTTGTGTTCCAGTTTAAATAAATAGTTTATTCGAAATATTTTTGTGTAGTTTGATGTAACAAATAAATTTAACTGGTAGGATTTATAAGAAATCCTTTTAAGGTAATAACATATTACCTTATTGCATTTTATGTTTCCAGTTACATTTATTTGTTAATTTACAATATGAGCAAGACACATTCAGATAATTTTACTAGCACCGTCAATCTTCCATTATACAAATATTTGAATGCTACAAAAGATGAGGGATATCAAAACTAAGGTATCATCAAAAACTGTTTTATCAAAAATTTGGGGTCTAACGCCTAGTTTTATAACTTTTATTAAAATGAAAATAATTACAAAAAAGAGAGGGAGACTAGACCAAAATCTCTCAAGAGAAGGCATACCTTCTCTAAATACAAGATCATTAAAATGAATGAAATTTTCGGGAGGCTATACCTGATCCGAAAAAAATAAAATGAAAAATCTAATTAAGGTGAAAATAAGGATAACCAATTGAATCAGCTTTTACTCCCTACATCCTGCAAAATAGTTCCCGGTTTCTGTTTTGGGCCGTCCCAAAAAATAGTTCTCATTTTCCTTTTTGGAAAGTTTTGTTTGGATCACATTTATTTACCTTTTTTTTACTCAACCACAACCATACATTTCCACTTTATTCCCACTTTTTTTAAATCCGATCCAAGTCAATGCGGGAACTATTTTACGGGAATGAGAGAGTATAGATATTTTAACATTCTGTGGAATACGCTTAATATATAAGGAGTATAAAAAAGACCATACTCTCCGATAGATAGCTGTCATACGATGTGCGGTCCAACTTTACACCGAATATTTATAGTACAATAAGACATTTATACTCCGTATTTAACAGGAAAAAGATAATGTCCAACCGGAGGGACATGATGCCTCGTCCGGCCGCCGCCGTTTAACGCGGTTTCTGGTAGAATTTTTTGATAAAATGTTTTGAACATGTTACTCAACAAGTCTAGTTTATCCACAAAAATTTCAGCTGAAAATTAAATCGTGAATGCAATCAAATACGTCAATGTAATCAAATTGGACGTGAATGCAATCAAATAATTTTTGAAAGGTAACTACGTTTTATATGTAGTTACCTTTCAAATCCTGGATTCGAATCCTGCATGGCTCGCTTCTTATCTTTTTAGTTTCTAAAGCTTAAGATTCACACACCGGTGAAACCGGTGAAAACGGAGGATTTAGTACTCCTTTGTTCCTATATATAAGCTCCACCTCTAACTCCTCTAAGTAATACTATTCCCTCCGTCTCAAATTGTTTTGCAAAGTCAACATTTTTTGGTCAACCAATAAAAAAGTCAATTCTCGCTATCGATAATTAATTCCATTTTTAATAATTAAAATTTATATATTCAGAAACTATATTAATATCTTTTCAAAGTTGTAAATTCCAAATTAGAATATTATTAAAAATTGACATCTTAATTAAGCAAATAAAATGAAATTGTTTGACCAAGAAAAGTCAAATTTGCAAATAAATTTGGGATGAAGGTAGTAGTATATTACTACAAAAAAATTGAGCCCTTCCAATTTTTTGGGCCCTGTGCGGTTGGACACCCTACACACCCTCAGGGCCGGCCCTGTGTATACGTTGGCGGAGCTCCATTTTTAGCTGAAATGTTTTGAGGTTGAACTAAACTTGATGAAAAACATGTTCAAAAAAAATCATAAAAAAATTCTACCGAGAATTGTTTCAAAAGGCGCCAGATGAAGGGTCATGTCCCTCCGAGGGGACAAGATCATTCCTCATATTTAACATACTTTTAAGAGTCACTTCTTGTAACATAAAAGCATAATGTAATGGTGAGGTCAAACTATAGATCCAGATTCGGATACATGAGATGTTAGTCTAAACATGACATCAACAATTTGCCGAGTATTATTTAAGAATCTCAATACATTTTTTTTACACTCAAATCGAATGGAAGAAGTATTAAAATACGTGTTATTGCGCAATTTATATCGTACACCAGATTTTTTTCTAATGTTTATCAACTTTGAGTGTTTTAATTAATCATCCTCTCATCCCTAACCTCTGCATTACCGATCATCTTCTTCGCTCAATCATCCGCATAAAGTTATGTCGATCATCTTCCTCGCTCAGTCATCGACATAGAATCGCGCTGATTATCTTTCTTACTCACCGGCGGACTCTGCAGCAGCTCTGGATAACTCAACTCCTCTGTTACGCCACACATCAGAGCTCTGGATAACTCGATTTCCTCTGCTACGCCACACATCTGAGCTCCAAAAATACCTCTTCTTCTGTTGCTAAAAATATCATCCGCAATTATTGCGTTTTTCAGAGCCTACAACTTTCTCCTTTTTCCCTTTTAACTCACAGCTTCAATGATTCAATTAATTGAATGTTCAACTTTATATATTAATACTGAGCACATTAGAAATGAGTTTTATTTTAAACTCAAATGAGTAAAACGCCTAAATAGAATGAACATTCACAAATGAGCTTTTGAATTTTTGAAAACTCATTTTGTAAGTTATGTATGTCCATTTAGTACATTTGTTATGCTCATTTTAAAATGTTATATCAGTGCATATTTCAAAAGTTTCATATTACATTAGATTCACATAGAAGTTGGTTACAGACACGAGACAACAAATCATGATACTCAATCGCACGATTCTAAGGATGTTTTTACTTGGACTGTAATTTGCTGGTCTGGTCAGGTCTGTACTGGTCTGGTCTGGTTTCTTTGTATTTTTATAACTATCCAAGTCTGGTCTCGTCTGAACTGGTCTGGTCTTGTCTGGTCTAGTCTTGTCTAGTCTGGTCTGGGACGAATTACATTCCAAGTAAAAACATCCTAATATTCAATAACGGAGGTTTGATGCTCACTGAAAATGTCTTGATACTCAACGAACAAAACTTACAATTTTCATATCAATGCTCATCTTGTATATTACATATGTTCATTTGTATAGGTTTGATGCTCATTGAAAATTCATTAATGCTCATTTAACAGAATTCGTGAATTTCATCGATCTCGATAGAGGAGGTTTGATACTCAATGAAAATTTCACAGGAGTTGATTATAAATATAATTTAATAAGTTTTTATAAACAAAAAAATAACAAAAAAGAAAGTCAATTAGAAGTTATGAAGCACAGAGATCACGATCCCGAACATTAGACTCCTAATATTCAACATAATATGTCTGATGTTCATTAAATGTTCATTAATGCTCATTCACCAGAAACCGTGATTTTCATCTAAATAGTGGAGGTTTGATGCACAATTAAAATGTCGTGATGCTCAACCAACAAACCTTACGATTTTCATATCAATATGCACTTTGTAAGTTATGTATGATCATTTAGTACTGATGTTATGTTCATTTTTAAAATGTCATATAAATGCATATTTCAAAAGTATCATATTACATTAGACTCACATTTTGAAATTAATAGGAGTGGATTATAGATATAAGTTAATACTCATAAGTTTATATAAGAGAAAAAAAAAGAAAAAAAAAGAATTAAAGATATGAAGCAGACATCGTGATACTCATTGTTAGTCTTCTAATACTCAATAGAATATGTCAGATGCTCACTAAAAGTACAATATTGCTCATTTAGCGAAAGACGTGATTTTTCACTTAAATTACAAAAGTATCACTGAATTTTTTTGGCTTATACTAATTATTGGACTAGATGTACATACACCTGGATGTATGATCGCAGAGGAGTTATTGTGTGACAACATTTTTTAGACAATATTAGTCGACAACATAATCACGTTTTTTTTTTTGCTAGCGATGTTGTTCTCAATTGTCTGACTTCTCCACTCTCCGCCTAACCCAAGCCATGCCTGACTGACCGGGGAGTTGACGAAATAGTATCATCATTCCCTTCATTTTTCCACTTTGGGGTAGAGCATTCCTTAGTTTTCAAGATGACCATTTTCGAAAAAGTGAGTTTTTTTGAGGTTTAATGTTAATTAATTAAATAATTACGGAAATAATGCTAGGTTAAAACTATTTACCAATATAGTGTTGAGCTTAACCTTGGTCGTGGAAAGTCGTCAAACCGTTTGGCGACTTAAAAGTCGCCAAACCGTTTGGCGACTTATAAGTCGTCAAACCGGATGATGACTTTCTCTCTGGACCTGCAAAACCAGAAACTTCAGAAAACAGATGAAAACCAAACACATTGTGATAAATCCTGGTCAGAAACACAGAACAAAAACAAAAGTCTAACAAAATTCAACACATGAGCACATCAACAAATTTTTAAACCCAACACATAAACACATCAAAAACAAATTATTAAATAACTAAAATTCAATACTTTGCAGGTGGACATATGTCATAAAGTAAAGTGTTTCACAAATTTCAAAAACAAAAATCTACAAATTCGGGCTACATGAATAAGTCCAATAATGGAGACAGACTACAAGTTATGAAGGTCTTCTTGGTCGTCTTGGTCATGGAGGTGTGGCTGTTGACGCATACGCCTACGCCGTTGACGTGGCTGAAGAACAACTCTGTCACGCCGAGTCTGAGATGTAGAAGTTGTTGCTGCTGTAGATGTCAATGGCGTAGAATCCTGAGAAGGGGTTATATGTAGAAGATGATCATAGTCCACTCGCCCAAGCACATCCGAACACAAGTAAGCAATGCCCGTTAGAACCTGATGGTACGTGTCCATGTCATGCGTCTCACTAACTGTGGTAGTCGCTCGCTCATGTATATGCTGCAAAGCTCGTGTCTGAAATGTGAAAAATGAAATATAATTATTTTTGAAATAAATTAAAAAAGTTAAATAAAGAACGTGAATTACTTTAATAATTAAGATCACACTCACCGTGAAGTGCAAAGGCATGGAACTAGGCTGATAGTGGTGAGTAGGGAGTCTGAAAGATGGAGATACAAACACCCGCGTGATGTTGTAATACAATCTCATGTAGTCTGTAGAAACAGATGGTACAAATGTCGGCGTCCCAGTCACAACAAGCTCCGCTCGCCTATCCCATATAGCCACGTATCGGGCATGTCGGAGCGACCAATCCTCTGTAGGCTTCCCACGCCTATCCAACTTATGAAGATCTACAAATGTATCGACAGGTGCTGGAATGACCTGCTCATAGCCAAACTGCTGCATAACACGATCAGGCAAATGAAGCTCAACAATGTCAAAGCATATCAACGACACACGTGCTCTCCATATAGCATAATGTTCTCGTCCTGTCGGGGGTAACTCCTCTAACATCTGAACTGTATATGGCATCCATGTAATCTGTTTCACAAGGATAAAAATTAGTCTTAATCTTATTCATATGTTTGCAACCTGCCAATTTATTCCGCTAGTCAAACACGCCAGAAAATTTCATATTTCAAAGCGCTTACCCAAAACTACTTTCCTATTTACAACGTTTTCATTTTAGCGATTTCATCCAAAAACGTTTGGGCCTAACAACTATTAACCAAGATTAATGATATGAAACCATAACAACGTAAGCTGTAAGATTAGGCAGAGACTATCTATCCCAACATGAATCTGGTAGTGATTTTGGCATGAATTTGCTGGTTCTTGTCAAATCCATGATCAAATTCGTGCCAAAAACATATTATCAATAAAAATTTATTTTGATCTTACGAAACTCGATTAACCCGTGTCAAATTAATGACAATTACGTTGTATCTGTAGTGCCATTTTAATTTTATTAATGAACAATTAAACATGACACATTTCAATACAGACATAAAAAGCAATATACTACTTTTGAAAATTTGATGTAAATATGAAGTAATTGAGCACTAAACAAACGTTAAAAAGATTACATTTGTTAATTTCCAAGTTATTTCGAAATATTTCGGACTTTCGTTTTGTAACCAGAGCTTTCGAAGTATTTTGAAAAATGCTCGAGATTTCTTAAAATGAACAAGTGTTGATGAGACAAGATCAGGCGTGAACACAAAATTGAAAATATGATGACAAATTTTGGAGAACAAGGGTTTCAAATTGAGTCAAAACAAGATTGAGTATATAGAGTGCAAGTCTAGTGGAAGTAGAACAATAATATTAGTGGGATTACCTTAAATGATAAGGTGACATTGGTGAGTGATAGGTCCCGCTACCCGAGCTCCATAATTCAGAAGGACGGTTGACTAGATGTAGATGTATCTCATAGAATCAAAACAGCGTGGATGAATAGGAAGAATGTGTCATGATTTCTATGCGATCAAGTTATGTCGACAAGATTGAAGAGTATGTTTTAGCGTGCAACAACTAGACCTGCATTACTGTATGACTAAGAAGCAGATATTGTGTTGAACGTGTGAACATACTAGAAAAGATCACATGAAAAATAAGACAATCAGGCGTATGCATAGAAGACATAGTTATACACCTGATAATCGAGTTGAGAGGTGTTGAGAAGACACAAACATATGTGGATTAATCCGCAAGCAGAGGCTGAGAGGAGATTGAGGAAGACACAAATTAAACAGATGTGGATTAATAGGGTGGAAAATGATATGGTACTTCTTGAGTTAGATGAAAGTATAACTTTTGGGCGAGTAAAGTAGAGGGAGAATATATGTGTGTAAATTAAAATACAAAAATTAAAACTTTATGAAAAACACATATTATTACTAATAGCTTTCCAGTAAACCACTAGCGGTATTATAGAGAGAAGGGAAAGCTATGAGTAGAGAGAGAAAGTAGTTGTGTATTAAATGGGATTCGAACCCTTTACAATTGCCGACAAGGGGGTATTATACCAGTAATTAATGAGGTGATGCATTAAATGCAGTACACGTGTTGACTATTATGTGGACGAGAGCTCTGAGGGTGTGGCAGAGTGCGACGCGTGTCATTCTCTAATCCACTTGTGGCCAGGTACATTCTGTTGACCGAGGTGCAGGTGCACCTCGGCTAGGTGTTCTTCCTATACCTGTGCCATTCTGTCTGGTGTTCTCTGGATAAGCCTGACCGAGGTGACATGTCAGGGGTGATATGTCTGAGGAGCACAATTCAAACAGCAGTTATATTTCTTCATTCTGGACCGGATTTGGTAGAGAGGTTCAAGTGGTGTCATGAGCTTGTATCGTTGTGTGTCCAAGAGTATGTGGACCGTGTGTTTGAGCCAATATGCTCTACCAATTACTTTCTTGGATCATTGAATCTTAAACATAACTCAAATATAAGTTCTAAATAAGATCGTTACTATAGTTAGTATGAGTGTACCTTCCCGATCACTATAATTTAAATTTAAACTACATGATTCACCAAATCAAATTTCCTTTTTGACTTTTTGGTCAAACTATATAAACTTTGACCGTTATTTATTTAAAATTTACATTACTATATCAAGAAATTAATTCCATATTTACTTCATTGCAATATATACTTATTATTCAAATAATAATTTGTTATTATAGATTTTATAAGTATATATTGTGAGATATTTGGGGTCAAACTTTCACCTAGAAGACATTAAAGTGAAACCGAGAATTTAATTGTTGGACTGAGTGAGAAATTTCGCCTCTTTTAATATTTTCATGTGAACTGGGTTCTATCTTGAGTCAAGTCATATAGACTACACTTACATATATCCGAACATATCTGATCAGATTTCTTTTTTTTTTTTAGATCAAAACAGATTTATATAACATTAAAAGACTCATAATATCTAGGCCCGAGACACGGAACCGTAAAACCGGGAAAACCGATCCGAACCGAACCGGTTTTTCCGGTTCGATTCGGTTCCTATAATTTTAGACTTCATATTTTTTCGGTTCGGTTCCTATGGTATATGATCGGTTCGGTTCCGGTTCGGTTCCAGTTCGGTTCCAGTTCCTAGGCAGGAACCGAACTTCTTATACATTGCATGAATAATATTCATTTAAGGTGCTTCTAGGTGGAATTTTTTGATGAAATTTTGTGATCTTGTTTTCAATGAAATGTAGATTATGTCCTCTAAATTTGAGCTTAAAATTCAATCGGAAAGTTAGTTAAAAAATTATTGAAAAACACTACGTCAAAATACATATAAAAAACACAATGTTTTTCAATATTTTATTTAACTCACTTCCCGATTTCATTTAAAGCTGAAATTTGGTGGATGTAATCTACACTTCATGTAGAACATGCTCACAATATATCATCAACAAATTCTAGCCGAAATAGAGGTGGCCAGACGACGTTCCGGGCAAAAAATTCTTGTCAAGAATAATTGTCTTGCATAATATACCTTATATATTGTGGACCACGCCAATCCGAGTAGTTGTTATTTTACTACTTTAGTCGATTTTTATATTTATTATTTGTTTCTGATTATATTTGTTGTTTGAGTCCACAATAAGGAAATAGTATTCCGTTGATTATGTTGTTAATTGTTCATAATAAATTACAAATATTACTGGTCAGTTTATTACTACGTACTTTTTACTTATGCTACATTACTAGTAGAAGAATACTACTTTGAAGTTGAGCTACATGCTATTGGATGTGTACCTTGAAGTTATTAAACCTTTTTGCTTGATAGTTGATGTCTATTTTAAACCTTTATGTTGTTCTTATGTTTAAACTTAATGTTTGCACTTGGATATTTTTGTGATATTTGAAAATTGGAATATCATGTATGTATAATAATGTGATGATCATAATTTCATCATTTAAAATTTGATTTCTTTTATGTAACTGGAGGTAAAATGTGTCCATTTTAGGAGGATAATAAATTTTTATTAGGAACCGAAAAATGTAAGAACTGAACCGAATTTAACTAGAACCGAACCGAATTTAACAACTACATTTTTAACTAGAACCAAACCGAATTTAGCGTCTATATTTTTTAATACGATTCCATCGAATTTTAACAAGAACCGAACCGGTCCCAGGCCTAATAATATCACAATTTCATCAAAATAGACCATAATAATTTCAACTAGACCACAACAAACTTTACTATGTTAAACTAGAATAAACTTAAAGATTCCAAACCAAACTTTATAATTGGAGTTCTAAATAAAAACATTTTATGCTTAGAAGTTGTTCTATCCGCCTGATCTGAATGTTTCTGATCTGGATTTTTTAATATCATATCTGATCCGATCTGAATGTTTCTGATCTGATATGAATCTTTCTGATCTGATTTGATCTGAATCTTTCTGATCTGATTTGATCTGAATCTTTCTGATCTGATTTGATCTGAATCTTTCTGATCTGATTTGATCTGAATCTTTTGTTCTGATCTGCTCAGAATTTTTTGATTTTTCTTAATCTCCACAAAAAAGGATGACACTCCATCCCTGAGAGCCTCATAGACCGGATAGTTATCTGGGAGGATGTAAGTTGAGTTTCGTACAGAGTTTTTGCTTGAACTTGAACATGAAATCTCTTCTTACCGGATAGATGAGATTGGACCATTTATGTGTGTGGAGACAAAGAAACCAATTCCCAATTTTTGGCGTTTTGCCCATATAGACAACATCATTTGTCAATTCCCTACCAAGTACGTAGTTTCTTCTTTTCTTTCCCCAAAGACATCATTGACCTTTTCCAATCCCTTCATTCTTTGGGAACACCCAATTTGTCAATAAATCTTTTGAAAATGGGTGCCCGCCCCATCCCCAACCCGATTAAAAACCAAACCATTTTACTTTAAATTCTCCCATTACACTTCACATCTCTTTGCTTTCTCCATCCAAATTCAAACCCCACGCCCATGGCAACAGTAGGTTCAATTTTCTCTGCTTTTATTACATTTTCTTGTACATTTTCCCTTTAAATGAAATCGTGTGTTATACGCAGGAGAGAAAGCGGAGCGCCGGGAGTTGCGGCCATATTCCGGCGTTTGGTGGGTGGGACGCGGCGGCTGACCTCCCCATTACACAGTACTTCGAGAGTGCCCGGCATGCCGGCCTTACGCGCAATCCCAGTGAACGCGCAGCCACGGACCTAAATGACGGAGTCGCCAATTTACGCCGGCCGCCGCCCAGCCATCCCGCCGCTGGTGATGCTGTTCTTCCTGCTACCAAGGTCCGTATGTTAATTAATCAATTAGGGAGTATAACGTTGGTGCACTTAATAATGAATGCTAGGTAGCTCATGTTTCAATCTCTTATACTTCGTATTGTACTTAAGGCTTTCTGTGGTAAATTATAGGGCTGGGCATAGAGATGTCAATTGTGACGGATCCGATGGATATTGTACCGAACCGTCTCGGTCAAAATGGGGAAAACCGCATTGACCGGGTAATGGGTATGGGGCGGAGAATACCTGTTTTGAATTTACGGGTAACGGGACGGTTACAGTTTTATACATGCCCGCCCGTTTATTTTTTATTATATTTTTATTACATTTTTATCTATTATTTGTCCCACAACTACTAAAAGATAAGAATTTTCTATTTTCATTGTGTATATATAGATAATAGATGACTAACTATAGTGTATGATTGTATGAATGAAAGTTTATAACAGATCTTAATAGTCTTGTTTGATTATTATCAAATTTTTTCGTGATTAATTATTTTTTTATATTAAGTATTTTTAGGTTCAAATTAATTTAGGTTGCCTTCTTTCTTGTCTTGTAGTTATACGAATCTTAAGTGGCGTATGAGTAGAGTCGTCTAGGTGATGCCATGTTTCACCTTTTAAAAATGGGAAAACTGTCAAATAGGTCTTCAAACTTTCATAAAAAAGTCAATTAAGTCCTTCTATAGGAGACTCTGTCCGGTCGTCGCGATTTGGGGCGGTTCCCGATCGAATTTTTTGATGAAATTTTTTAAGCATCTTATTCATCAAGTCTAGTTTACTCATACCAAATTTCAGCTAAAAATTTAATCGGGAGCGCATTCAAATTAATTCGAGAACGCAAAAATGCGCAGTTATATTCAAGAATTAATTTGAATGGGTTCCTGATTGAATTTTTAGCTGAAATTTGGTATGAGTAAACTAGACTTGGTGAATAAGATGCTCAAAAAATTTCATCAAAAAATTCCACCGGGAACTGCCTCAAATCGCGACGGCTGGACAGAACCTCCTATAGAAGGACTTAATTGATCTTTTTATGAAAGTTCGAGGACCTATTTGACAGTTTTCCCTTTAAAAATTAATTACTCCCTTCGGTCCTAAATAAACTTCACACAAATTAAGGAAATAAATGATTTTACTGTAGAGTACACTGTTGTGACACTGTTTGACATTGTTTTGCACTGTTTTGATGTAGATAATTTGCCAAATAAGGAAGAGAGAAGAAGTGTGAAATTTATTTTGAACCTACCCAAAATGGAAAGTGTGAAGTTTATTTAGGATCGAAGGGAGTATATATTAAAATAATAATGACTCATATAATAAACTGATTATCCGTGGTTACTCGTGGTTATACCCGTTACCCGTTGGGGCGGTTATGGTTTGGGTAAAAATTACCCGTTGGATAATGGGGCGGTTACGGGGCGAAAGAATTACCCAACGAAAACCGTCCCCGATCTGTCCCATTGGCATCTCTAGCTGGGCAAAATGATTTGATTTAACCGAATTGAATCGAACCAAACCTAAAATTGGTGGCTTTGTTTAGTTTGAGTTTATTTAAGTAAACCGTTTGGTAAGGATTTGCCCAAACCGAATGACTTGGTTTGGTTTAAAACCGAAAAATCATAAACCGAACCGAATTGAAACCGAACCAAAACCAAACCGCGGAAAATCGAACCGTAAACTGAATTGCCCACCCCTAGTAAATTATATACTCCAAAATGTTAAAATAGGATTTTAATGTTTATATTCCTAAAATAAAACTTACTTATACAAATATGACTAATAATTACTACAATATAGTGTCATTCTGACTTGAATTTAAAAATTGAATATAAATTACTTTGACTAAGTTAATACTAGTATGTAGTATTATAGTTGCTAGTCATATTTTTGTAAACGATCTTTATTTTATTCATAAATATGTAATATTTTTAAAAACCTAATTTAGTAGAATCAACTAATTTAAGCATTTCAATAAAAACTTCATAAATTTCAGCACAATCATCCAATTTATCTAATTTGAGGATTTGACTCTCAAATTTTTCATGATTGAACTCATTTCCTTGCAACATGTCTTTTAACTCTAGAAACTGGTTGGTTTGCTATATGGGTTGTAGTCGACCTCTTCCGGTTTTGGAAAATTTTATGTTCGATTTTGTAACCCTCTCTACAAGCAAAAATGTTTTGAAATTCCAAAATAGAACTATCATGTTTTTTATTCCTTGAATATGAGTAATTTGCCAAGTTTGGAAAAAATGTCATATTTAAAACCTAGTAATGTCAAACTTGGCAGAAATTTACTCTTATTTTAGAATAAAAAACATGATAGTTTTATTTTGGAATTTCAAAATTTGTTTACTCCTATTTAGGAATCTCTAAAAACAAACCAAAGTAACTGAGAATTAACCCAGTGATCATTTTTGTGAGCACAGCAAACTTGTAAAGATATTATTGTGACAGACATTTTCTAATAGGGACTACTCCGTAATTTTTTTAAAGATATTATTGAGACACTTTTTCATTATTTCTTTAGTAAAAAAATAATTGTCTGTATACTTGAGCAATTTCAGCACATCTGCACATGAAGACTTTTGGGACACGTGGCAGACGATGAATGAGAATTTGTCTTGACTAATTGATACGAAGTACTCGTATTACATTCATAAAATAAAATATGTATGATTATTTACGAAATGAATACGAGATTACTGTATTGAAATAAATACGGAGTATCGATAACTTCTATTTTGAGATTGATTGACAGCTATAATACAAGTAGATAATACTTCTCGTAACACTCATATCTTCCCACTTTTCCTTTTTAGCTCTAACATTCGTATTTTCCCATTTCTAAATCTTGCTATCATACCCTCAATAATTTTAAAATTAATACACTATTACAACTACTTTTTTTGAATTTATCCTTCATTCCAGCACACTATTTCATTATCTTCCCGTCATACCCTCGATAATTTATATCTCCTTTCACTATTCTTAATCTCACCTACTTTTTAAATGGGAAGATATATCTGTTACGGAGGTAGTAAATAATAAGAACAATTATTTAAATTGAGAGCCCGTCAGTAGCGTTGAAATTGATTGAATCGTCTGATTCTGCTAGAATTTATGAAGCTCTTGGTGAAGTTGATGCATTGGCTGATTTTGTTGATTTATAAAAAAAATTAAAATATATTTTATTAATAATATAAAGAAAAAATTATATGAAAATATAGCTAGCATTGTCCTCTACGGTAACTTCAGAAATTCCACCAGAAAAGTAAATTCAATCTTATTTATTTTGATCGTTACACAATTTAGCCGCGAAATCAAACTTAATGAAAACGTTGACGGATAAGATCTAATTGGTTGTGAATATTTCCTACATCAATAAAACATGAACTAATAAACTACTACTCCCTCCGTCCCGTTTGAATGTTCCCGCTTTCCTTTTTTGGATGTCCCGTTGGAAAGTTCCCACTTCCCTAAATGGAAAGTTATCCTACATCAAAACAGGGTCAAACCGTGTAAAACAGTGTCAAAACAGTAAAATTTACCCCCTGGTAAGTTTATTTCCTTAATATGTGTGTAGGTCAAACCGGGAACATTCCAACGGGGCCGAGGAGTATATTCATACTTTGATCTTCACGATTTAAGTTTTAAATTCCGTAAACTTGCATAAGTGCAGCGGAGGAGTTACTCACAAAATAAAAAGGGGGAGAGAAGGCCGGTCTGCAATGAACATGAGAAAAACGGATCCGCCGGTTCACGCCAGCAATTGCAAATGCATAGCAGTAGCCTGAATTCCGCCGCAAGGAAGAATGCGAATGTCATCCCGAAACCGGTGGATGAAGATCTCTATGGAATCCCCCCGGAGTTCCTTCGCGGTGGCAGCCGTGTACGTATATATGGACTAATTATCGCACTTTAGTTTAAGAATACGTATTTGCTTGATAAAAATTAGTAATTGCTTGTTTGGAAACCTTTTTTCGTATTGTCATTTCATGTTTCTCCGGTCATTTTCTTTACCAAACACTTTTTTTCGACAGGTGTGGTAGGTGTACACATTATTGTGTACACCTTTTGCACATTCATCTGTCTCACGCACAAAAATTGACAGACAATTCTACAGAATTGTTTGTGGACAGACAATTTCATGCGCGTGAGACAGAAGAATGTAAAAAACGTGTACACCAAAATGTTTTTCTAAAAATTAACATATACACCCCTCCGTCCCAGTTTAAGCTTCTCACTTGCGTTTTTTGGAAGACAATAATAATTATGACTTTTAAATATCAAATTAATCAATAAATATTATCATCAATGACATCATTATGTTATATATAGTTATATACCCATCAAAATTACTTTTCTACATATATTTGAATTACTTTATTTAATTATTGTCTAAATAAAGGAAAAATATTTAAAATATCCCAAAATTTGAAGGGGTGTGAGATGAACATCTTAAACTTGCATATGTAATTTAAATACCCTAAACTTTACATAAAGAGTTACTTTAGCACCATAGACAAGTATTATTGCTTTCAAAAATGTAAATTTATGGTGTTCATTGCATAATTTAAAATATTTTAGAATTCATGAAAACACAATTAACATTTTAAACTTTCATTGTGAAATAAATAATATTACCACCAATCTATATAATTCCAACATTTTTAATTTGCTATTTTAAAATGTTTGTGATATTTAAATTTCATATGCAAGTTTGGGGCGTTTACCTCACACCCCTTCAAAGTTAGGGGTATTTTTATTATTTCTCCCTCTAAATAATCGTATCATTTTTAATTACAAGCTAAATTGTGTTTTAAGCAAATCCATTAATCCAACCTAGGAATGTAATTTCAAATTTAATAGTTTTGATTATGTTACAATTGAATGCTCGAAAAAAGGCTCTAACTATACAAACATGGTGTACTAGATGAAGTGGTTCTCGTATTATAGTGGCAATGTGCTTTTCTAAAATTTTGAGCTGAACTACTTAATTGATTAGATTTCTTTTTAGTGTGATCTGATTTTAGTATCTTCCATATTGTTCAAGCAGTCTATACTAGTAGATGATCTAATTAATTTTCATCATTTTTGGTGCAGAGGAAATTCTTTTTTGGGTTCTTTTCAAGATGCCTTGCTCCTTCTCCATGTACTGCATGAGTAGTTATGTGCATACTATACGAATTTCTGGGAGGAATATGTATAAAAAAACAAGATGTTGAAATGAAGGGTGAAAATGATGGAATGATGAATAGATGAGGAAAATTCATCTCTGAATACAAGAGATTCAAGAGCATACAAAAGGAAATTACAAATGTCTCGTAGTAAAGAAAAGTATGAACATGTTAATTGTAAGAGTTCTCTGAGTTGAGCTTTTTGTTTATGGCCCTTTCAGTTGCTTTATTTTATTTTCCATCCTTCTTATTATCTTATAGCCATGACACTCCTCAAGATGACTAGATGAGTATCTATGTTAAGCATTTTCATCTTGGACTTAAATCATTGAATAGAGGATTTCTCAAAGGTTTCATATATATATATATATATATATATATATATATATATATATATATATATATATATATATATATATATATATATATATATATATATATATATATATATATATATATATATATATACACACACACACACACACACACACACACACACAGAGAGAGGAATGTTCAGCTCCGAACATTCTCCGTCCGAACAATGCCGTTCGGGGCGGTTCCCGGTGGAATTTTTTGATGAAATTTTTATGGTATGTTCTTCATCAAGTCTAGTTTATGCATACCAAATTTCAGTTCAAAATTCAATCGGGAAGACCTTCAAATGATTTTTTGAAGTTGACTGCGTCAAATTATACATAGAAAAACGCAGTCAACTTCACAAAATCATTTGAAGGCCTTCCCGATCGAATTTTGAGCTGAATTTTTTTGTGGATAAACTAGACTTGATGAAGAACTTACCATAAAAATTTCATAAAAAAATTCGTCCGGAAACCACCCCAAATGGCGGTGTTCAGACGGAGGATCAGGTTCGAACGTTCGGACCTGATCATTTATGTGTGTGTGTGTGTACACGCGCGCGCACAACTTGAAGCATATTGTTAGCATGAATAAGTTCAATGAAACTGGTAACTACTTTTTCTTAAATGATATGGCAATCTGTGTCTATATGTTTAGTTCATTGGGTTATAAGCTAAATGATAAGGTAGAGATGTTCTGTGTAGGGATGGACCGGTTCCGGCCTGCCACTGTGTGGGACCGGGCCAGCCCGGTTGCCCGGGCCCGGTCCAATGACTCGACCCGGGGGTATTTCGGGGGGCGGGCTCGGGCTGGGTGTTTCTTTGGTACCGGCCTGGCCGCCGGTCCGGGCCAATTTTTTTTTGAGGTCTTTGGTTGGTAGGGGGTTGGGGTGGGTGTTTTTGAGGGGTGTGGGGGTGGGGTGGGGGTAGGAATTAATTAGAAAACCTGGGCTGATCCCGGGCCTTAACCCTCAACAAAGAAGCCCGGTTTGGAGTTTGGACTGGCCCAGAGCCCGGCCCGGCCCAGAACCGGTCCATTCCTAGTTGTGTGTATAGCTTTATTTGAAAAGAATGAGAAATATGTAAATTCGTAGAAACACTACAAGTCTATTACCAATGCCCACACAAACTCATTAACAACTGCTCTCTATACTTTGAATATGTTATCATCATGTCCCTCTCACTCAAAATCCTATTCTCAATTTCTCATTATGTATTTGATGCCCACAAAAACTCATTAATAACTTCTAAATATGTTTTGATAAATCTGTTTTACAATACTGTAAATGTGTTATCATAATGTCTCACTAAAAATCATATACTCATTATGTCTTTAATCATTTTAGTTGTGTTTTGATAAATATATATCATACTTTGAATGTGTGTATGTGTGTATACAAATAAGCACACTCTTAAGCATGACTCTAATTTGGCTCGTTTATTTAAGAGTACTAGTCAAACTTTGACAATGTATACTGCAATATGGTTCGATCTTCAGGTTCAAGGAAGCATGAACATGTGGTACTCGGGCACGGCTCCAATAATAGCAAAAAATAAATATGGCATATTTTAATTAGACCCAAAACATACAAAACAAATGAAAGAAAATATAATGTTACGTTCATACAACACAAATGGGACTAAACACATCAAACATTTAAAACATACAAAAAATGTAATGTAGGAGTTAAAATGTCATAATTTATGAGCATGTATGTACAAAGGTAACCATGTCAATCTAGCCACACACAAAAAAAGTGGAGTTAAAAGGTGTTCAAATTCCTTCATATACCATGAAACCACTTGTGTTGCAAAAGTGATATTTTAGCGTATGATGGTGTGAGGAGGCCTACTTCCAATGTATACACAGATCAGGGAATCTCAGCAACCCGGCACATAGTGATCTCCTGTTGTTTAAAGTAGCGTCTATCCTCCTCGTCAACCAGGACAAGGTTCAAATAGTATTTCACACTGAATTTGTTGTTTATATTCATATATGTCGGTGTCAGTTCGTATGGACTCAAAAACAATCTGATGGGAATAGACTCGCCTGCAAAATTCAATTACAACTCTTAAAAATGTTAAATTTTAGGGGGAATTTGACTTTGCACCCTACTTTTTGGGTGATATTGGACTTTGCACCCCATTTCAAAAAAACTTTGATTTTGCACCCTATTTCACTTTAAAATCCTTTGACTTTGCACCCCAATGAGATTTTTTTCTTCACAAAATGCTATGTGTTGGGGTGCAAAATCAAAGTTTTTTCAAAATGGGGTGCAAAGTCCAATATCACCCAAAAAGTGGGGTGCAAAGTCAAATTCCCCCTAAATTTTATAGCCAAGTCCATAGCTCGAGGATTGAAATTGAACCTACCACTTTAGGGTATTTTGGATCCTGGAACATTCTAAGTAATTTTCTTATATTTGGATTGACCAAGGAAATGAAATATAACACATAGTAGTTTTTAACTGTTTTGCATATGCTTGGATTTCTTGTTGCTTATATAATAAACAATTAGATCGACTGCGAATAAATATTTAAAACTAATGTATTGAATTGGAATATATCTTTTGTTTTTGCACAATTCTTTTCCTCTCATTTTTACATTGTTTTCATTCCCATGTATTTCCTTGTTCAAAACTGGCACTTATAGGAAAATTGATGATATTACCTCTAACGGGAGCACCATCCATCAACTCAAACTTTGCAAGAGTTTCTGTCTCAACATGAGTGTTGGCTCCAGAACCTGTAGATTCACGGCGTCTGATCTCAAGGTCCATGTTCTTTATCTTTATTCGTACAAGAAGGAAATAAATCTTTCCTATAATCACATCTTTCAAATGATACCTGTTTATGTTAAAAAAAAAATTTGAAAAACTGTGGGGAAGAAATGCAAAAACGTTTTTTGAGAAACTAATCATACTTGCTTTTGTTGTACTCAAACTCAATATGAAGGCAATCTTCGATTCCAACTTCCATCTACAAGTCACAACGATGAATGAATATTACTCTAAATCAGCCCAGCCTACTAGCTTCAATTGCACGAAGAAGATAATACAAAAGATAATTTTTTATTTCTATCATTTAATATCATACAGTTTCCATCATTTGCAATGGAGCCAAAGATTAATTATTTTTTGGCTTGAGATTATGATGGAATAAAGCAAAATGGCTCACTAAACTGTCTGCGCTTCTTTGTTATGGAGCAACAATCAGTCCATGCAATTTTGGACGCGAATTTCACTATGGGTCATCCGAAAACAGTCTCTCTGTGCTTATGTACAGGGGTAAGACTGCGTACATCCGACCCCCTCTTACCTCACCGTAGGTGGGAGCCTTTGCGGCACTGGGGTAAATGAAATGAAAATGATCATTTAATATCATACAAATAATGATGTGCAAATAAATCATGTCTGTTACCTTGATACTATTGTTGATAGTAGGAGGTGGGGCATAGTTGCGCACCTGATTCATTAATATATTAAGATAAGTAATGATTGGATAATATAATTGAAATGTCACTAAAGTAATTCAAAAAGACAAAAAAAAAAGTAAATTAAACAAGCATGCAGGTGCTTTCTTCCTGCTGTATTCTTCCATTTTTCTTCTTTTTGGGTGCATAATTCCTACTACATGCCACAAACACCAGTCATCCTCATTCAGAGTTGGTGAATGTTACCAATTAAAGTTTGGAACGTGGAGTTTGACACATAATATTAACAAAAAGATTGGTGCATGGAGTTTGACACAAATATTAAGAAAAAGTGAGATTTTGTAGTTGGTATTGAATTTGCAAACGTAGCAATGATTGTGAGTTGCAAAACGTGGCCAGATTTGGTATGAGTAGTAAATTTTGAAATGCCCTAGAAAGGATATGACCAACAAAATGGCACAAAGATAGTACGGAGTAATATATAAGACATTGTCTTTTTTTTAGAACAAGGCACTGTCTTCTTAAACGATCAACGAACCGGAAAAGTAGGATTAAAGTCTTTCAGTTTCTCTATTGTGGACAGAGGAAGTGCACCATTAAAATATCAGAAAACTATTTCATGGACACAACAAAAACATGAAAATCGAAGCACCGCGTGAAAAAGAAAGTAGATGAAAGTGTTTATGTCGGGTATACAATACCACAAAATCTTGGTACTCCACTATGCTGCCACCATAGCCACGGCTTATAGTCACTTTCAGAACATACCTAAACACGCAGAATGTTAAGTCTCAAAATCACGTTTGACAATATAATAAGATCTTATACACTAGCATCTATGAATGATAAATAAAAGATCATTCCAATATCGTGCATTTGATATAAGAATAAGCATATTGGCATACTCCAATTATTTGACACGGAATGGAGGGTCTTTGCAAATTAGTTAATCTCTAGTAAATTAGTTAATATTTAGTCGTTTCTTATCATGATTTATCATTTTCACCTTTACCAATGTTTATTATGATTTATCATGATTTATCATAATATCATGATTTACATGTAAAGACCCATCTTTAATTTGTCTCTTCAATGATCCTTTAACTTTTTATTATTTTTTTGCTGCATTATCACTGGACCTTCTGGCAACAGGGAGCGAGCCAACCTCTCTAGCAAAATTTGGATTGCAAATTTCTTCTAGACTATTTGTTAGTTAGTTAAATCTTAATAAATATTTTTCTAGGTTAGTAATAGGAGAAAAACACATGCATTCTTCAGAAACCAAAATTCACAGTATAATTAACTTAGTTACCTAAGACGAGCATTTGCCCCATTGTACGTTTCATAAGGCATTTCAACAGTTGAAAATTCAAATGGGTATGTTTTCCTCTCATATATTTCACCAGGCACATCCAGCTCACGAACTGAAAAGAATTGAGATTTATGAATCATTACTTGAAAACTAAAAGGATTTCAAGTCTTGGCATATCATATTATAGGGAATGGAATATCATAAACTAGTGGACAAAAGAGCCTCATAAAAGTGCTCGGAATAGTGACAATTTAATTATGAAGCTATAAAAACATAAGAACATGAATTAGGACGTTTTTACTTGGACTGAAATTTTCTGGTCTGGTCTAAACTGGTGTGGTAGATGTCTGGGGTTCGTGTATTTTACAACTGCCGAAGTCTGATCTGGTCAGATCTGATCTGGTCTAGTCTGGGACTGAATAAGTCCAATTAAAAACATCCTCATACATGACCAATAAGTAACTAACTATATAGAGTCAACATGATAGCTGACAGTGCTCCTGGACTTCTTAGTCCATGAAGCAATTCAAGCAAAGGAATATGCACTCACCAAGAGAGGTGAAATCGTAGAAGTTCCCCCTATCAGAATACATTTCTGTAATTAAAAAAACAGCCGAGAATTCAATGTCATTGTTTGAAACAAAAGGGAACCCGACAGCATATATGCTTGCACATGTGACAGAAAATATGAATGAAACTGCACAACTAAGAATGGAAATGATTAACCATCCCCCGAGTAATCTGGGGCCAAAAAATAAAAAGAACAAATAAAAACACAATGACAATATGCATGAACAAAATGGAATGTTTGTGCACCATAGTAGAGGTAGTTATTGTGTCATGATGTCACGTGAGGCATAATCCTGTGACATCAAAATTCAAAACCAGTGTTTTTTAGGAATGAGATGATAAAAGAAGCACAATGACCCGAGGAATGTAAAATATTGAACATGTGAGTGTCATAGAGAATTGATACACTCATACACAGAGCAAATAAAAAGAGCCAGTTTCCATATCAAACCATAATACTGTATTTGGCTCAATATGATTTAGGGCCAACATGGTACATAGGTCATACTATGGATAGAGAGAGAAGCTCTTTATTGGATTGGATTCCATCTATTCTATGGCTTTCAAGATGTATGCCTAATTGAGCAGAGAACTAGCTTTATTTGGTGAACAGCCATTATGAGGGAAATAATAAGACACAAACTGAAAACCAAGCTGATTCAATTTAGAAAAGGTTATACCAAGGCTTCAAGGCAGAACCCACATATAGTGTAAGTGTGGAAACAGCGAGTGTTTGTTAAAATACATGTGAGAGATCATACTCCAAAGAGACCTCATATTTGAAAGGGTTGAGGACATTTTAATCTTAAACCTCGGGGGGGCTGCTAGACAGCATATGCCAGTACAGAAAACCAGGTAATTACTGACAGGTAATTACTGACCTATCTGACCAAGCAACTCAACTTTAATTCCATTGTGTTCAACCTTCTTTCCTGATATTGGCTCAATTGATATCTGAGATACCATCACAAAGGTTTATTCTTTCATAGGGTTAGAAAAATTTCTGAAAGGCATATGAAATGGGGCATTACTAGGATTTAAACCACAAAACTGTAGAATACCTTCCCAACTATGTTTTCTTGACTATGAAAAAGTGGGGCCATTACTGTTTGGCCATTTTCCTTCTTCAATGGTATCTAGCAAAGTATATAATAAATTCAGAGGTAAAATGTGGAGCTATATTATCCGAGTAATACAAATATGAAACTTTGCTAAGTCTTAAGTAAACACAATAAAAAAGGAAATGATCAATTTCAGTGGCAGTTAAACATGAATTTTGTCCAGATGCCAACATTATGAATTTTGACTCTATTTCTTCTAAGTTCTCCTGGAAGAGAACTTAGAAGAAACTCTCAGAGATCTATTTTTGCATATAGATACTATAATATCAGAAATTCATAAAAGCTTGAGTGAATATAGAGTCAAAAACAGCTAAACGATAATCCAATACCTGTTTACGTGACTTCCCATCTGAAAACGTGACTGAAATGTGGCATGCTGGCTTGAAAGCTCCGAGTATATAATTCTATCACCATTATTGAAAAAAGTACAATAAATCTAAGAACAGAGTAGCATAGTGTGAAAAACAAAAATAGGCTTCTAGCAGTAAATTATAAGCAGGATTAGAAACATTACCATATCAATGGAGAACGAACCCTGATCTGAGAAAGAATAAAAATAGCGATAAAGAAACTGAATCTGTAATTCACAATTTTTACTCAAATCCACACCAAATAACCAGAACAGAGAAAACAAAAATCCTGTCGAAATACTAAAATAAGCTGCAGGTAGAGAGCTATACTCGCCGAGTCCCACCCAAAACAAAAAGAGACGTACAGTGGTAAGCAAAGTCAAGTGAATTCATTAAATAGCTTAATCATTGTTAAGCCAAACTAATGAATTGGTTGAAAGAAACTTACCTGGGATCGGACGAAGATAAATGCAGACCTCACCGCCCTGGCCCCTAAGAGCAACGCTTCCTTTTCGATTATTTTCGCAGATATAACTAATAAATTAATAATTCCAATGTTTTTTTTAATATTTAATAACTGTCGAGCGCATGTTTTTATCTCGGATCAGCCTTTTATCTTTGATTTTGTTCTTGATTTAGAAATTGCCTTAAATAGGAGCAAAAACGTTTTTTGAAATTCCAAAATAGGAGTATCATGTTTTTTATTCCTTGAACAGAAGTAATCTACCAAGTTTGGAAGAAAATGTCATGTTTAAAGTCTAGTAATGCCATGTTTTGCAAAAATTTACTCCTATATAGGGAATAAAAAATATGATACTCCTGTTTTGGAATTTCAAAACTTTTTTACTTCTTGATTTAATATAAGCTTTCGATTTGACGCTAAAAAAGAATTCCAATAATGATTACACTACAATTTACAATTTATTGTCGCAGAAATCATTCTAAAGGTAGACTAATGTTGGGCATTTGTGATTTGTCTAGCTAGATTATGTTAGATCTTAGCAATTCTCCTGCAATTTACAGAAATTCTACAAGAAAGTAATCTGCGTAACTTTTTTGAAAACAGTCAACAATTATAGTAAGTAACTACTCTACTAATCGGTAAACAGTTATTAGCTATATATCAACAACTATAACTAATAACTAACTAGACTTCCTTCTAGAATAAACTTTGCCAAAGTACTTAGCATCTCCCTTCGGATTAGTTGAGTCTCTAACATTACTCCCCTCCTGAAAACCCAACTTGTCCCCAAGTTGGAAAGCTGGAAATTGTTGCCTGATGATATCTTCCCTTTCCCAAGAATCTTCAAAGTCTGGAAGATCTTCCCAGTGCACCAGCATCTCCTTCTCTCCCTTATCATTTATTCTGACATCCTTTATCTTCTCAGGCTTGACCAGTAACTCACACTCCTCTGTCATACCCATTGGAAGATCTTGATATGTACTAGTGAGTTTCAGAACCTTCTTGAATAAGGAAATATGAAATACAGGATGAACTCTGCTGCCCACAGGTAATCTAAGCTTCAAAGCCACTGAATTAATCTTCTCTAGGATCTCAAAGGGTCCATAAAATCTGGGTCTTAATTTATGATTGCTCCTGAGGGCTAAACTCCTCATTTTATAGGGCTGAATCTTCAGAAACACACTATCTCCCGCTTCTAACTTTACTTCTCTTCTATGTTTATCTGCTTCTTGCTTCATTAGATTTTGAGCTTTGGCCAAATGTTCCTTTAATTCTTTAAGCATCAGATTTCTTTCTGCTGTCAGCCTAGATACCTCCTCCACTGCTGATAAACTGACATCCCCTCTAATGATTATAGGTGGATCTTGACCAAACAATGCTTTATAGGGAGTGTTTTGTAACAAAATGTGATGGTTGGTATTGTACCATAGCTCAGCCCAAGGCAACCATTTAACCCACTGTTTTGGTTTCCTACGAGTCATGCATCTCAAATAAGTCTCCAGGCATTTATTCACTATTTCAGTTTGACCATCACTCCGGGGGTGATAAGCTGAACTATACTTCAACTTAGTCCCAGCTGATTTAAACAATTCTGACCAGAAGGTACTCAGAAAGAGGTTGTCCCTGTCACTCACTATCGATTTAGGGAATCCATGAATCTTCACTATCTCCTTCATGAACAGTTTTGCCACCTCCTTAGCATGATAAGGATGTGCTAAAGGCAAAAAGTGTGCAAACTTGGTTAATTTATCTACCACAACCAAGATAGTATCCTTCCCCATTGATTTAGGTAGCCCACCAATAAAATCCATACTTATATCACTCCAAGTATGGGTAGGTATTGGCAAAGGCTGCAGCAACCCCGCAGGTTTCACTAGTACAAAAAATGCTTTTTACATCTCATTTTCTACATGTGTTATTTTAAAACACATGTAGAATACTAACATGGGGTCATTTTTATAATTTTTATAAACATTTTTACATAGGTCGTAGTTATAACCCATGTGAAACACCAAAACGGGGTACTTTTTTAAATTTTAAGAAATAATCTAAATCGGTTATAATTGCAACCGATGTGAAAAGAAAAACGGGGTAATTTTCAGAATTAATGAAACTTTATTTTAGATCGTTTAAAACCGATGCGGAAGAAATTAAAAAAAAAATCGTTCTTATTCTAGATCGTTGTTACCCGATCTGGATGAATTAAAATTTTATCACGCCTGCACTTAGCCGATTTCAGACCTAGAGTTATCTGCGAAGGAAAGAAGACAGAGAGATTGAGAGACAGAAGGGAAGTTAGAGCAGTCCGCGCCTAAGCGAGTTAGGGCTTTGGACGGACTTCGAGCAGCCAGTGGACGGCATTCGAGCGGCCAGTGGACGGTGTTCGAGCGGCCAGTGGACGGCGTTTGAGCGGCCAGTGGATGGCGTTCGAGCAGAAGCGGATGACGCTCGAGTGGACGGCGGACATCGTTTGAGCAAACGGCGGAAAGTGTTTGAGCAGACAGCGTTCCAGCGGCTTTCGAGTTCGAGTAGGCGAACCTTCCTCTTTGACCTATCTTTGAGCGAGCGGACTTTCTTCAATTGGCTATTTTCTCTAAATGTATAATTTTATTGGTTTTCTAAACTATTTTTACCATGATTCTGTTGCTATATTTGAAACTAAATGTCTAAAATCTGTCGTTACGTTGGATTGTTAGGGATTGAATACTTCATAATTCTGGAATGAATACTTCATATTTCAACTATTTATTGTGGTTACTTCACTTACTTGTTATTAAGATTTTTGGAGAATATCCCAATTTTTCTTGTGACATATGCTTAAGAGATAGTTTGTATGCAAATTGAGTAATTTATTGCCTAATGCTGATAGGAATTTAGAATGCAACTATGGTGTTTGATAAAATTCCTCAAAGAAGAAATGAAAACTTTTGACTTATAAAATAAAGAAGTTTTCAAAAAAAAAATCAGTTCTTGACTTATAAAATAAAGACCAAATTTCTCTGTTGATACTCTTTGTCTCTTTTAAAATCATATGCACTGGTCTGAAGTATGCTTTTCTAATTGTAAAAGCAGCTGCAAGCCTGCAATCATAGGCATTAGAGATGTTTTCCCCTTGGATTACAGGACTGATGTTTTCTACATTCTTTAAAAACTTCAAAAACCCTTCTGCTAGTTGTTGTGTATCTAATATGTACGCTTCACTATCCCACACTTCATTCTCATTTTGCACCTCCAACTTCTCAGGTTGGCTCCCTGAGGTTTCCTCTAGATTGATATCCTTAAAAGATGGAATCTTTGTGTAAGCCTCTGTGCAATTCATTACCTGCTGCTGAATGTCAAGGGAGTGTGTGTGAATACATGAAGAGCCAAATAAGCCTGTATTCACTTATTCAAAATATATGTGAAGAATACATACAACAAAAGAATTATTCACTCTAAATTATAAAAAGAGACTTAAATTAGTTTTTGAGATCTCCCAAGGCCGAGGCTGAGATGAAAAACCGTAAATGATGGAATGAATTAAGGGCCCCTTTGGTAAGGATTATTTGTCTGAAATGGCTGGAATCTGTCTAAAGTAAAAAGAGTTCGATAACATCTATGTTAACCAATAAGGTCATACCGAGTATCAAACTTTATTCACTCTGCTAAAGTTAGCAAACGGGGCCTGAATGGCTATGTATAAAAAACTTTGGGAAAACTGCAGAAAGAGTTTCAATTGCAGTAGATGAAATGACTAGCTCTTCATGCACTATACATGTGTATATAATGGCACCTGAGTATGCCTACTTTGTCTCCTACATTGTTTTATTTCTTGTTTCCTACATTGTTTTATTTCTTGTTTCCTAAACAATTCTTTTTAGCTAGTCTAACACATCGCGATATTTTATTATCCTTTTGTTAATTACTCTCTCTGTTTCACATTGGCTGACAATCTGACATTTAAAACCTTATTACGCACTAAGATCTTTAGAAACTTAGTAAATACCCTAAAATCTTGCAGAAAGTAGCGCTTACATAAACCAACCTTTCGTAGAACTGTTTGATATTAAGTTATTTGAGGAATGATATGGAGAATGACAAAATGGAAAACTTGTATTAAATGCTCTCTTGGTTTTATAAAGAGAAAGATATTGTGCAACATAAAATAACCAACCAAAACTACACTACTGTGAAATAGTAATACTGATTCAATAGTGTGCTTGGATTGGTTCTCAAATTTTATAAACAAACATACTGGTAGATGGCCTTACAAATTATTTATTGGTTCATGCAGCCCACCTTTGAAACTATGTTTTTACATCTCTTTACTTTTAACTCTTTGGCTAAGATTGTTGTACTTCACAGCTGGAGGCACTATATCCTGATGTTTACAAGAATGTTCACGAGTATAGTAACCGTTATTGCAAGGGTGTAAGTTTACTGCATTAGTGAGCTGCTAGTAACCTTTATTGTCAAAAATAATCATCTTGAGACTGCTACCTCACGAATTACAATTACCTTCTTTGTGAATGATTCTAGGGCACTTTTGGAATTTATCAAGGGGCCAGTAATCATGAAGAGCTGCACAACTTGATGAAAGCAACAGTTATGATTCGCAGACTAAAAAAGGATGTTCTCCCGCAGCTTCTAGTAAAGCGCAGGCAACAAGTACTAACATATATCAAGCAGTTCTTGGGGTTGTTCTTGTACATGAATATAAGGCATACTTGCACTTTATTATGATTAGTATTGTTATTATTTAAGTACACTAATTCCTATAACATGAGATATGCTATGTCTGGAATTCTTATTTGTGTTTATCTCACTTTCTAAAACTCATTCTCAGGTTTTCTTAAATGTGGAAGAAAAGGAGATGAAGTGTATCAATGCTTTATTTCATGAGGTAGTAAACTTTTTAAAAGTATATGCTGCATGAAAGTGTTGACCAGCAAATTCTTTTTCTCCTGCAAATTTGAATGGTAAAAATGCTTTGAAATAAGTTGCACTGTTGTTTCAAAGTAAATTTTCTCGTGTTTATGGTGATCCTGCAAAGCCTAATCTATGTCTATAGCAAGTTAATGGTTTTCTCTCTACTTCTACAAAGCACCTCTTCTTCCTTGAATTTATCCATTCACCCAATGAACTTTCCTGATTTTTATGCGTTTAATTAAACAAATCTCTTCTCTCGCATTTGATGGCTAGTGCTCTTTTCATCTTGTAGAACATAATAGCATTACTTAAAACTTAAAAGGACAGTTTGCTATTGTCTTATCCACCTCCATAGTTAATTGTGGAGAGATAGAGGAGGACTAAGTATGCATTACTCCCAAAACCGGACTCATTTAGTCCTATTAAAGAATAAAACAATAAAACCTTCCTAAAATAGGAGTGAATGAGTCCTATTTTGGAACAAAACTATGAAACTCTTATTTGAAGAGATGTGCTATGTTTTACTCTTATTTAGGGAATTTTCTACATCAACAAATTAAATATGGTTTCCTTTATTTCCAATTTATTCTGCAGTGAAGTCTATATTCTGCAGCCTTCCCTGGCTTTTCAACAACTGCTAAGTGCTAACCTCTAACCTTTAAAGCTTCCCTTCCTGTGAAATTTCTGCTAACTTTGCATCAACTCCATCGCACTAAGGGCTCCTTTTTTATGGACTTACTACCTACACATCTTGAAATCATAGCAATTCTGTTACTTTGGATTTTAGCAGTTTTGGTGGAAAGTCAAAATAGATACATTATATATTCCAAAATGATAATGAAAACAACATGGAGTTGTATTCATAGCATGGAGATTTTCCATCTAATCTTACATTCTTTCTGTAGTTGGAAATTGTCAAAGAAAAAATTAAATCAAGCCAATCCAAGAATGATCGTGAGTCACTTAAGTTCACTGAGAAGAATCTTAAAAATAAGGTACTTGTTGTTTCAATGCATTAAATATGTTATAGCAACTAAAAGTTCTCAAATGAGTTGTATGCAGTAAGAAATCATATGTGGTTTCAATTATTTTTTTTATTACATGCTTTTTGTGCAACACTTCCTTCTTGCAGTCATATTCAGTTTTATACTTTTAGTTTACTATATTTTATCTGAGTAGCATTTTTGTGCCCTTCCCCCAACTAGTTGATGCTGAAATGACCCATTTTTCTGCTATGACCATCAGTTTGTGCCCTTCACTTATTGATGATTGCTCAAATCTTCCAACTACATTGATAAGTTTGGTATTCTATAATTCGTGAATGAGCTAAATGTGGTTATTATGTGATGTTGCATATGTTGAATATTGTTTCGGCGGTAATTCTTGAAATGTGGGATGAGGTACGTTATTATTTTATTTACATTCAATAGGTTTGCTCCACATGTAATGTTTTTTAATAACCTTCTTATTTAATTTGTAGTGATTCGCCAATCCGGAACCATTCTCATCAGAAGAGATTGATGAAGTACGAACTCGTTGGGCATCATATTTCTTAGAAATGACGCAATCCATCAACAACACATGATGAACCTGTTAATTTAAGTTTTTGAGTGATGATGAGACTTGTAACTTTATACAATGTGTTATTATTCTAGACTTGTGCACGGATTGTTTTATTTTAGCTTATTATTATGTACTAAATTGTTACTTGAACTTGTTTAACATTTGTGAAAGAATTGAAAAATAGCTTGTGTTATTGTTTTAGATGAATCAAGTGAACAGGTGAAAAATTGTGCTATAGTAGTTGATGATACTGTTAATGATGTGATTATAGTATAAACAAGGTTGATATTGCAAATTTTTTCATGAAAAATTCCGAAAAAAATTGAAGTTTTGCACATCAGTTATGAAATAACCGATGTGATTGCTTTTCTACATGGGTTATAACCGATGTGAAACACATGTTCCGGAAAAAAAATGAAGCTTTTCACATCAGTTGTGAAATAATCAATGTGATTTCTTTTTTACATGGGTTATAACCGATGTGAAAACCCTATGCTCCGGGAAAAATTGAAGTTTTTCTACATCAGTTGTAAAATAACCGATGTGGTTTCTTTTCTACATGGGTTATAACCGATGTGAAATATCATTAAAAACGTTGTTTCGGACTATCTTCTAGATCGGGCACTAAACGACCGATGTAGAAAGAATTTTCACATCGGCTGTTTGACCGATGTGAAAAGTCAATACTTTTCACATGTGCTGGAACCACATCGGCTGTTTGACCGATGTGAAAAGCCTTTTTTGACCGATGTGAAAAGCCTTTTTTGTACTAGTGTTTTAGGGCCTCGTATTTGTTCCTTTGACAAATATCACATCCTTGAACAAATTTTTGTATCTCAGATCTCATTCCCACCCAATGAAATAGATTTGAGATTCTTTTCATTGTTCTGAAGTAACCGGAATGACCTCCCACAGCAGTTTCATGATATTCCTTCAGTATTTTTGCAATTCTGCCAGACCCCTGAGGAATTACCAGACTCCCTTTGAAATACAACAATCCTCCTTTCATCCGATAGTTCTTCACCTTGTCAGGTTGAGTGAGGACCTTCTGAATTAATCTTCCACACCAATCATCCTTCTCCAGCTCTTCCTCTAGTCCCTACCATTCTTGACAAGTAACTATGGATAGAGAATTCAAAATCATCTTTCTGGAAAGGGCATCAGTTGCTCTGT